GTCAATAGGTCAAGTGCCTGCTGCATTTAGAAGGAAGACTCCATCAGCAATCAATGTCAATGCAATGAAGCTACCTTCAGCGTGAGTGTACAGTTAACCACTGGCTGGAGGCTGCATGGTCTGTTGGAAAAGGTGGGAAACCTGGACTCTGAATGCAGGAAGAGCTTACATCAAGGAAAGTTAGACATAAGTGGAGGCTCAACCATCTTTATGGAAACTTTTTGAGTAATTAGTGTGAATCTTCAGTCCTAGGTCACCTCAGTTCTTTAAGCTCAAGCAAGAACAGCAAAGATGTGTCTTCACTCTTGAAGAAATGTCTGAGTGTGGTATAATATGTCAGTAGCATTATGGCTACCCCAAAGTAAATACTGACCCAGGGAATTTACTCTATCAAGTAGCAACATAACTAATAAGTCTGAGGAAGAAAGAGGCAGGACAGTAATCCTATGTATTTTTTTCCTTTTCCTTCTTAGTGAAGCTTATGAAAGCTGAATCTGAACAGACTGCAGCAAAAATGGAGGACATGAAAACAAAGTATGAGCAGATGTTGGAAGAGAAAGAGAAGAATCATCAGGAAAATGTGACACGTTTGGCTGAGCAATTAGAAAAAGATAGAGCCAATATAATGGCAGAGCAAGAAAGGATTCTGACTCATAAACTTCAGGTATTTAGTTGTGTCATATCAATATTCTCATCCAATGGCCAAGATCAGAGACAGTGATTACAGGTCAGCGCACTTTTTTGTCCCGATAAAGGTGAAAGCCAGACGCGACTACAGTCTTCATTTCCTTTGTGTTTCTATTAGTGTCAATCTGTGGTTGCTAAAAGCCTTTTAAAAACTGATTATGCTCCATGTATTATGTATTATTACATCATTCAATATACAGTAGTGAATAATTGCCAAGCCCTATATAAGCCCTTCATAAAGTAAATAATTTATATGCATTACATATTTGCATCCTTATCTGACATCATAGGAACAATTCTGTTGTTCTTATTCATGTAATAAAATTATAATTTCAGTAGAAATAAGGTAGTGTTCTGTGTCATATGTCATAGAAGAAGATCCATCCTGTCTTTTCTACCTAATGGAGTGGTCTGTAATTTGTTTTTATTATACCTGCTATGACTTTATCTCTGTGATCACCTTGATGATTAGAAAAATTTTCTAACCATGGTATCATTTAAACACACTAGCTAAGTGCCCATGCTGCCATTAATAGCACCTTCCCATTCTCCGGGCCTTATTACAAATCTATGCATTGTCTGACTGTCAGACCAGAAATGCACTCTGGACATGAGTAGTCCTGATCTCCTCAACTGTTTTTTTCTTACTATTCCCACCAAAAGTTTGCAAGCTTCTACTGAATTTCACCATCAGATATTTCTCCTGCCTCTCAGCATCATATGTAAATCTTAGGAATCCTCCCATTGGCCATGATTCTGGAACAAATATTCATATGTGCAAAAATCCACATTATATAGAGTGAGGGTTGAAGGGGGAAAAGTGTGGCAATTTTACACAACTATTATGTATAATTGTTACTTCAAAGATCCCATAGAGGAATTCTAGAGAAACAATATTTCAGGGATGATACAAATTAAAGACATCTGAAGATAGAGAAAAAGTCCTAGAAAAATTAAAAACAAGCATAGGATCCTTAAGAGAGAGTGACACAATGGAAGGTAAGGGAGGATAATATTCAAGAAATAATAGCAAAGTCTATCAGCAGATTAATTTAAAGAATGAAAGGAAAATTTATTTGGTAAGTGTTGAACAATTTCTACAAAATTATTATATGCCAAGACACCTTAATTATCCACTTTCCCTCTTTAGGAACAAGAACGACATTTCGATGATGAAATTACAGAAGAGAGAAGAAAATATCAGAAAGAAATCCAGGATATGGAGATGAGAAACAGAGAAATGAACCTATCATGTATTATAATTTAAAAATACAAGATTAAAATTTTTGTATCACACAGTCTGTGACCAGGGCACAAGTGCAATGATCAATTCCAAAGATCCAAACAATTGCCACTGAAATTGAATACATGATCACTACACTTACATTGATCCACAAATTTTACAAAGATGAAGTTGAAATGGGAAGGAAAGGAATTACCTACTAAGGCTATTTATTTCATGCTTATTATAGTAATGATCTCAATGATCTTTAACTGGATACTGTATGTCAAGTCATGCACATTTCCTCTGGAGAGATTATATTAATAAATGCTGTAATAAGTATGCCATTTACAATAGAGAGATATCAGGCAGATACTGTTTAGGGCAAAGTTTTTCTTCTTCATCCACACCATACTTCTAGACACCCTCAGCCTCAGGCTTTTATTTAATGGTTTATTTGTGCCCTGGGATGAATGCTGTGACCATAGAGGAAATTAGATATAAAGTGAACAAGAATTTTGCTCACAGTTGACCATCACTCCTAAGTGGTCATTAAGTTACATTTCTTCTAAACGAAAGGGATATTTTTATTACCTATAATTGTCTAGGACAACCTGCTGGGTTTAGTGTGTAGAGAGTGTACAATTTACAACATGGTGGAAGCTTCACAGTCTATAGGCAGTTATGGTTCTCCTGAGCTCTGCCAAGGATGTGCTCTTTTCTGTGAAGGGTGGATCCCTAATGATAGGATCAAATTGTTCTGTTAACAAAAGCTCACTGGTTAATTACTGCACTAGCCTCAGTCCTCTGTTGGATCTTTAAACTTAAGCAAGAATGGTAAAGACGTGTCTTCACTCTTGAATACATATCAGAGTGTGGCAAAATATTTCAGGGGCAATATGGTTACCCCAAAGGAATTATTGTCCCAGGGAATTTCCTCTATCGAATATCAACATAACAAATACATTTGAGGAAGAAAGAGGCAACACAGTAATCCGACATAATTTTTCTTTTTTCTTTTTCTCTTTAGTGAAAGAGGCAATAACTTACTCTTCACAGCGTGAAGCCGAAATGGCGGTGGAAATGGAAAGGAAGTGTGAGCAGATGATGGAACAGAAAGAGAAGAGCTATCAGGAACATATGACACAACTGACGGAAAAGATGGAGAAGGAAAAGGCCCAGTTACTGAAAGAGCATGAAAACATTATAGCTTGTCAACTTGAGGTATCTAATTGTGTCATCTCAATTTTCTCATCCAATGGCCAGGGATCAAAGCCATAGAATACAAGTTAGCATACGTCTTGGTCGAGATAAAGGCGCTTTGTAGGCAGACACTGGACTGCAGTTTTAATTCCCATCAATGCCTATCTGTGGTTGCTAAACGCCTTTTACAAGCAGACCCTGTGCCACAGAGCCTGCACTGTTATTTGCAATAACAGTGGCAAATAATTGCCAAGTCCTACACAAAGTGCTTTACGTGCATTACATATTTGCAATCTCATCTAATGGCACAAGATCTATCCTATAATCCTCTTTCAAATAAGAAAATTGTAATTTCACATTAGATAAGACAGTATTCTGGAATATTACTCCTGGAAAAGTATCTAGCTTGTATTT